TTGAATAATTTCCTTTTCAAGTGCTCTTCCTTCAAGGTATAGTCCTTATTTTGGACTATACAGTTGCTCCTTTTCAAGGTATGCCTTTTCTCCGTTGAGTTTCATATCAGAGAAAAAATCTCCAATATAATTAAAAAAATATTTTGGCTTTACTTTGCCTTTTAAAGACAGTGCTGAATAAAGTGTGAATGAAAGAAGTAGAATGAACGATCAGAATACAGGTGTGTGGTTGTCCCAAGTGGTATAATAGATGCAGCTATGGTAGAATAATGTACTTCTGAAAGAATACATTAAAAAATTTCGCAAACTGCAATTTGTAAATGATCTGGGTTGGGACATACGGAGCAACTTAAAATTTGCTATGCTTTGAATCATTGTATGTCACACAGTCCTCAACTTTATGAGTATTTGTTTAACAATAGTTTGAAATTATGATGGCACTCAAAAAAGTGACTTGTGATCATGTAATCACAATTTGGGCGCTTGGCATCTGGCTCACATTGACAACACTGCAGTGTGCTGTGGTCACATAATTGCGATTTGCTATTTTCTCAGCTGGTTTCCCACAAGTAAAGTCAACAGGAAACTGGATTCACTTAATGACTGAATTTCACTTAATTGTGTTAAAAATGGTAATAAAATTGGGTTTGGTCATTTGATGATTCACTTAATGTCTGCAAAATTCCAGTGCCAACTGTGTTTGTATTATACTACATACTGTGAGCTATTAATAAGACAATGAAGCTATATTGAAACTACAGTTTGTAATTCAGTGTAGAAGTAGTTTAAATTCTAAACACAAGTCTAGTATAGTTTTCCTACTTTTGCCATAAATTATGCTTAATATTTTTCATATTTTATATATTAATTTGAGATATAAGAACCAGTAGTAAGTTACTTGATTCTTTTTTCATTAATATCTCGCAAACATCTAGAAAGTGACATTTCAATAATTGTAGATGTAGAATTGTAATGTGAAAGATGTAGAACTACATCTTTCACATTAACCTCTATGCCAGAGAAGATAGCTAATAATGCAGTTAAGACTCTAGATCAGTCAGGTCCTGTTCAAGGAGCAGCTGGCAGCAGTATATTCTCACAAATATATCTTGTGGACCAGTTGTATCACTAGACTACTACATTACAGTCTATGTGGATTGCCCTTGAAGAGCATTCAGAGGCTTCAATTGATGTGGAATTCATTAGCACATGCAATATTGGGTGTCATAGTACACCCAACTGACAAGGCTACATGAGCTACACTGATTCCTAGTAGGCTTCCAAGTGCAGTTCAAAGTTCTGGTTGTAACATTTAAAGCCCTGAATAGCATGATGCCAGGTTACTTGTAGAATCCCAATGATTTTTACTGATCTCACCAGATAAGAGAGTGAGAGTGAGTCATAATATCCTCGGGGGATCAGTGTCCCCCGCGATATGGACAGCATTGACCCTGATAGCCATCCAGAAGGCCATGAAAACTTCCTTTACTCCAGACACTAAGTTTAATATGTTAATGGAACTCTAGCATAGCCATGGCCATATTTAATATGCCAATAGTGGGCCTCAATCTAGTTTTCCTTTAATGGATTTGTACATTTTGGATGTTTTTATTTCTCTTCACTGCCCAGAATATCTTAGTTAGATGAGCAGCTACAGTATATAAATGTGTTCAGTGAATAAATAATGACTTCTAATTCTTGTGGTTCCAAGGAAATTCTGACGGTCATTGACTTGATCTTGAAAATCCAGTATTTCTTTCATATCCTCATGTCTCAATTCTACAGCTTTCAGTTTTAAAATAAAAATTATTGTATTTGACGTTTATCAAAGTTGTAGTTGTTGTTGTTGTAAATTCATCTTGTATCTGTCAATTAATTAAGTATAGATACCATCAAGTCAGGCTCAACTCCTAATGCTTTCATGGACAAACAGTCTCCATCTTGACTTATCTCTAGCAGTAGCCGAAACTGTATTCACTCCAAGATGGAAGTTGGATGGATAGAATCTACAGAGGTGATACCCTATATGATGATACCTGGAATAACTTTGACCCTTTGCATATCCAAGAACAGAATTCTCTGCGATCTAAGAGTGGGCAGAGGTCTCTGTGATCTAAGCTCTGCCACACGTGGATTGGACCCTTACTAATGAATATCACGGGGGGGGGGGGAGGACTGTGAATTGGTTTCAGAATGTAATCAATGCTTCTTTGAGAGAAGAGTAACTCTAGCAGAGATATCAGTTTTCCCACTCTTCAAGAAACCAGTCCTGAATCCAACAGAAAGGGTAACTTATCCTGTCCTCAAAGTCTGCTTTTGTAGAAAAAGTGCCAAGGCCAAAGTTTGTCTGTATTCATGGTAGTTTGAATTCAGACTTCAATATGATGTAGAAATCATATTGGTCCCAAATAGGACTCTCATAGGACTTGAATGGAAGGAGTGTAATCAACCTTGTCCTTCTAGATTTCTCAGTATTTGTTAACCACTGAGAGTTGGAAGTGCCAGATTACAGTGGTTCCACTCCAATCTTAGTGCATGTCCAGGAATTGTGGAAGGGGACTAAAGTAAACCTCAAATATTTTCTTATATGAGTACTATAAGGCCTTAGGCCTTTCCCTTTTCTTGTTTAGTATTTTCATGAAGGTGTTGTGAGATGCCATGCACCAGCTGAAATTGAAATTAGCATGCTGATAACCTCCAGTTGTGTAGCTTTACCCATCACTGCTTTTAAAGCCTTATATGGCCAGAGAGCACCTATCAAGGATCTCCATCTATTAGGAAGCACGATGAGAGGAGGCCTGGTGGCAAGAATTCTCTGTGAGGGATCCCCCTATGGAACAGCCTATCCCATGGGACTAGGCTGAGCTTGCTTTCATGGCCTCTATAATTAGTAAAGAAATGATTCTTCCAGAATACATTTAGCATTGTGGGACCGTTGATAATAAAATTAGTGTGTGTGTATCCATAAACATATGTACAGAATATAGGGCTTTTTTTGTCATAAAACGCCCAGAACGGAGTTCCGGCACCTTTTTTGGATGGAACCTTTTAGGGTAGGCAAGACGGGTTGTATGACGTGTGTGAATTTTGGTACCTTTTTTTTTTTTTTTTTATAAAAAAAGCACTGACAGCATATGTGTGTATGTACAGTGTGATATATATAGATACAGATAGCTCTTTACTGCCCAGACAAAGTAGATAAATTGCATAACTAAAATAACCTACAGCTCTTCCAAGAATTTTCTCAAATTTCTTAAAATCTAGTCATTCACTTTATCTGTAGCTTTCCCTTTCTTACACTTTTGTCAACCTTGCAAAGCCTCCTATTACTCCTCCCAGCCCATCCATTTGCATCAGATGCTCAAATTAAGCAAATGGTTAGTCTTTGTCTGGTCCCAGATTGACTATTCTTTTGGCAGTCCATGGTAAACTTCAAAATATATAAATGAAAGGATCCACAGTATTTTTCTTGCTCTCCCACTTTCACAGTCATACCTATCTATAGCATGTATAGTACTGTGTTACAATCTCATTGTGTAGCTCAGAGTTGAACCGCAGATTTGATAAAAACCTTTGTGTACAAATAAGAAAAACCGTATGTTATTTTTCTAACCCACTATTGTGGAGTCAGCCTTGATTAAAATAGTCTCACCAGTTCATGATTCCTTTAAATTGAGTAGATTCTATTAGCTTGTCAGTCAGGTTTTTTTGGAGTTTCTCACCTCCTGTAGAGAAAAGAATTCCTGGATGATTTAAGGGAAAAGCAGGGATTAAATGCATTTTCAGAAATATTTTTGATTTGTTTGATTTGTTGATTAATTTGGATTCCTTTCCTTCATCATGCCTTATAAATCCAATTCAAAATATTGCCTCTTCTTTTTATGAGTAAACCATTTTAAGGATTGCTTAATTTCAATATGATTGCCCTACTAAGAACTTGTACATATTTTTTTATTCTATCATATGAAAATAGAGATACATTGAGTTATTAGTGGCCAATTGTACATTTCTATTGGCAAGAGATCCTGAATAAATTTGTGTTTGTGGCTCCATCTTGATAACTTGGCATTTTTAAGCACACTTTATTAATACCACTTTTTTCTTAGTCCAAATTGTTAATCAACTAAAATGACATTTTACATTTCAAAAATGAAGAAAATGTAACCCAAAGTACCTTTTATTAGTTTATTTTGGGGAACACATAAGAAAGTAAAAGCCACTTTCAGTCTAGAAAAAAAACCTGACATTTTCCACAAAAAAGTCCATGCCATTTTCTTCCCTATAGCTATGTGAAATATGAATTTAAATAATTGAAATAATAAGACCTAGTTTTTGAGCAACTTATCATTACTGTTACTTGTATGTTTGTACTCTATAATATGTAAAAGAAGATCTACCTAAACCAGACTCTTTGATCCATAACTGATTTGCCACACAAAAATGAGATATACATATTTGCTTAAAGTGTTTACAATTAGTCAGTTTCCTTTCAAAATTGAAAAAAGACTATTGTTTTTCCAAATTTAGTTAAGTTTGTTATTAAGAAGAAAACTGGATGTTATGAAGAGGGTAGAGGTTTATTAGTTATCTCATTTAGACTAGAGAGATAAGTCTGAAGAGAGGTGCCTATAGTATTTTCTGTCTTATGCATCAAAATAACTTGACTGATTTGGGGTATTTTATGCCTTGATATGGCTAAGAGCAAGGCAACATTTGTTGCTTTGTATCAACTAGTGAAATCATGTGGGTCATAATTTTCTGTTCTGCATACATCTGGGATAATTTCCCTCTTCTGTTTTAGGAAGGTAAAATACTATTACACTGAATAAGGAGAGTTGACCATATGCTAAGCAAAAGCCATTTAATATGAATAGAGCTTACTACTGTTTACATTACTCTGTTTTTTCTCTCCCAACTTTGCCCCCCCCCCCCAGTGGCTGGAATGTTCTGGGGCAATCAGCACAGAAAGGTTTTGATGCTCTATCTTGTCTTTGAAACAGGTTTTGACAGATCTGAAGTCAGACAATCAGCGACTGAAAGATGAGAATGGAGCACTCATCCGAGTCATCAGTAAACTCTCAAAGTAACATATTGAACAAAGGATGGGCAGAAAGAGGAGATTTCTGTGCACAAGCTGTCAATCCTGCCACCTACTTCTGATGTTCCGATTGAAAGAACTGCTGGCAATTTAGCCATGGACCAGTTGGCAACACACACAGCTCCTTGCACTTGCTGGGCATTTTTATTTTGCACAGTGCTTACCCCGCCCCTTTCTTCTAAAAGCATGCCTCACCACAAGTTTATTATTTTTACAGTATTGGAGTAATTTATTCAAAGAGACAAAGAGTGATTGGCACTGTCTGAACTATTCAAACCATCTGCTGTAAACCCCATATGCATCCAACTTTAATCTGATGTAAAGAAGTATCTACTGTAATAAGTAATATAGAAGTGACTATAGTGTCAATCGAACATGTCTTAAGATACTGTCATGGAATAGGAATAGGGAGTGAAATGGAATTACTCTTCTTCCTAGAATTTGGGAGTCTGCAATCTATGAAAAACATGATAGCTTATTTCTTTGGGAGTCTCATAATGGTGTCTTGCCTTGGGAATACATATTCTACATATTTCTCAGTATTTAATATACTTTAATATTGGGGCCCAATAATTGTTTTCCCCTTCTTTCCAGCCCTCCTCAAGATGCTTCCTACTATTTTGTTTCATGGTTGTTTTCTCTAGAACTATTTAATAGATGATTACACCTTATAACTGCCACATTCTTTAACTCACATTACGGTCCCTTTTTCTGTCAAGAATTCTGGTGGAAGGACGTCTAACAGCAAACATTGCTTAGGGTGGATTTCCACTTGTATAAAATATGCAGGATGTATCTGCACAATCCATCAGCATATCTTTATGAGCAAAATAATTAATTTACCAGTGAAGTAATAACATTGCGGTACAAATAAGTCGGATTTAAGATAATGTTCAATAGGCACAAAACTGAAAAAACAAAAGTGTTCTCAGAGTTTAAAATGGAAGAAGGCTGATGGTTAGAGGTGCTTAGTCCAGTACAAAATGCTCTTTCAGTCTTGGTGGAGAGCCTTGTTAAAATTATACTAATGTTTGAGAAATTTAATGCAATGTTTCATTTGCACAATTGTAAACATAAATGCATTTGTCTTTAATATCAACAGTAAGATCAGTAGCACTCACACCCTGGTTTCTGGTCATACTGCAAATGAATACATTAACTTTTATAGATTCTCAGAATACTACCTGCCTCAGAGACTGTGTTTCTCTGGTTATAACAATGAGATTTCACTTGCAGCACTTAATATATTTTTCCAAATCCTGACTACTGCATTTATTTTCTTTCTTCCTTTGTATTCCAAAGCATGATATCTCATTTTGAAGCTACACTTTTTGATCTAGATTTAGTCAGTTTTCACATTGATTAGAACAGAGCCTTTGGGATGTAAGAAAAGCAGCTATACATAGATACAAGTGAGCAGTAGTCTTCAGACCTTTTTGCCATCATTGCTCAATAGTCAACACAATGTGGCTTTTTTAATCTATTGTGGACTACTATAACAAAGAGATGACTGACCTTTTCTCTTTCGTCTTTTTGTTCTGTGTACTCATGTATTCTTCTTGCTTTTATTAGCTACAATGAAATGCAGAATTCTGTTAAGTGCCAGGAGTTGCCACCTATGAGCTGACTAATTCAGATATTGGTTGTATAAACGTATCAAAGTCTGATGTAGTGATCAGTGCATGCATTCACTGTACTTGGAGCTTTCTGGTTTAGCTCTAAGGCTCCCAACAGCCCATTGGTTTCCTCTATTCACCTTTTTGGGAACTTTGGATATTGTCCAGGTTTCAAAGTAAGTCTAACAACTATATATGGAAGCTAAATACATTTTGTCATTGCAATGAATTTTATTCATGATATTGCTTTTCTACTGCCTAACTTATTTCAGTCCCATAGAGGATTCCAGGGGGATATGAACAAAAGATTTTTAGTAGGTCCTGTCAAGCTCTACCATAAACAGTCATGCAAATGAAAAAATAATCATTCTGTAAGAGTTCCTGCATACTACTGTCATTTTATACCTGGAATGTAGTAACTTAAACCAACCTCAGTTTTAATATCCAGAAATCTAAGGAGAAACATTAATAAGCATACTATGAAGAATTGTGCCCTATCTAGTCAAGAGTTGGAATTAGATCAAATTGAATTCTGCCTAGAATTTTCTGAGCTGATTAATCATGAAACAATCCAATATGCTCACCATAAAATGTTTTTATTGGGGGGGCAATGGGGTAAAAACAGATTATTCCATGGATGTCTTTAAGATGAATGGCAACATCTTAACAGTTTAGACCTAAATATTTTTTTCTTATATTTTCAAGGATTTCAAACCACCTTCAAACTGTTAAAATGAACCCATTTTTATCCTGATGCAAAGAAAATCTTAGTCCAGTTCCAAAAGCTGAAATATGAATGAGATTTGTTCCTTCTCTCAAAAAATGGCGAAAAGGAAAATCTTGAATGGAAGTTATTTATTTCATTTGAATTAAACACTATAACTACCAACCCAAGAACTAGTATATGGTTTAATATCTTATTCTAAAATTTTCATTTGAAACCAGGAAGTATTTCCAAGAAACTCCCTGATTTAATGAGGGGTTGAATGTGGGCATAGGCAAAAAGACCTATTCATGTTTAAATCAATTATTTTAAGTTTTTTTTATATGATCAAGTAAACTTTCCTCAAGAATTCAGGACTACTCCTTGTTTTTAAAAGATATCAAGAACAAAAATATTATTCCCGTCATTGGTTATTGCTCTGCCCTAATTAAGTTTAGATTCAGATGAATGTTCTGTTTTAATTGTGCAGCCAGCTAAAATGTTCTCTGCATAAGTTGCAAATGATAGAGGAGAATGGTTGAAAGTCTAGTCTGTGACATGAATGCTTTCAAGCTTGTGGATAATAGAAGTTTTTATTTAAAATGGGAAATGAATGGTTCTTCTTTGGTTCTTGTTTCTGAAAGTTTTCCCCTATGAATTTTTCCAAATCCTTGTGCAAGTACTTTAAGAAGCATAAGAAGAAAAACAATTTTATTCCTTTCAAATCGAAAGGAATGTTCAGTGGGATTTGGCTACTAAGAATTAAGTTTTATATGAAATTAGAGGTATTACATGTTAAAAAACTAAGTATAGGAAAACAGCTATAAATAGGGAAGAAAGTCTTACTAGCCATTTAGTGATAGATTGGTTTACATTACAAGAAGGAAGGCTGTCTTCCTAGTAATATGGATAAACTCATAGAACATAAAAGGTTGAGGGAAAAGCATTTCAGAAGACAGGGTTTTGTAAGTGCAAGAGCAAGTAGCTATGAGTACATTTGTATTTAAGAAAAGTTTACTTAGTATTTATTTGTTTCTATCCATATTATTTTACTGTTAATGGAAACAATTCATGGGTGAAATCTGGATGATCAGGGAGCATTAGATGAATCTAACTTGATCATTTTCCAATGCATATGCATTTGATTTTTACTATTGGAAACTAATCTAGAGTCATTGACATACCACTTTCTTCTTTTCTCTTAAGGGATGTTTATATTAATAATTACCATTTAAAACACTTATTCCCATGGAATAACTCAAGTATAACACTAAACATGTTGCTGTTTGCTGATAAAGCATTGGATATAGATTAAACACAACCCATGGACTATCACTGATACATAAAAGATTAAGGTTTGTTATTTCTTAGGACAAAAATGAGATACTTGTGGCCCTTCAAATGGTCCTGAAATCTCAGCATCCGTCACCATTGAACATGATGGTTGAGGATTCTGTACTTCAGTAATTTCAGGAGCCTTCACTTCCCCCATTCCTGCTTTAGACTAAAGTTAACATTTGTCCCTAACTGAACGATATAAATGTAAAAAAAATGTAACGTATATGTCCCTTCTTGGACATAAACCAACCCATACAAATATTTTGTTATTGTGAATGTAGTCCTTTGCCCCCATTTAAACCTGAACCACTGGGTCATCAAGTTCTCCTTTCAAATTACTAGGATGTGAAAAGTAACCAAAATCTTTTCCCAAAATTGTGGAGAGTTTGAGGAAGAGGACCCATTGTACACCAATAGGACTTCTACAGTGTATATGCAGATATCTCTCAACACATTCTTTTCAATTATTTTAGTGCTTACCAGAACCTAAAAATGAAGTTATTTTGACAGGATTTTTCACAAATTGAATGTCCCCTCACAAAGAATTGTCCTTGACCACTCACATATATGCATTTTTATGAAGTCCTTCAGCTTTGCTACAATAGGCTTCGTTTTCCTCTCTTTGACCTTCCAGCTCCACTCAGCCTGCTGCCATGTTAGCTAACCTGAGAGGAAAGCTTCTGACTTCGGGATATTAAATATGGGAAGCAGAAAGTCTATATCTCAAAGGCAACTATAATATCTTTGTTTCAAGCTTTCAGTTTCCCAGGACTTTTTCTTTGAATGGTGTGTTTCGATCACATTTATTCTGTGTTTGAAATATTTTTGTGTGATTCTACTAGAGGTAGCATGTTCCAAGAAGAGTTTGCTTTTGTTTTTGCTTTTTTAACAAGATTACTTCTTAGCAACTTACTGATAAATTCATCCACTCCCCAAGATTCCTTTATTTCATGGGGCAAGTTGAACTCTGGGTGAATATAACTTTGTATGTTCTTGAGCCAACAGAAGGGTCCAAATTATGTTAAAATGTGTATCTTTCCACTCCTGTTTAGTATATAATATTGAGGAAAGTCAAAATCTCTTACTGTAAAAGCTATTCCTGAAAAAAGAACAGCATCCTACTGTTGGCTCATTAACTTCCCACATGCAAATATTCTAAGTGTTTTCTGTTTTTAAAAAATGTTTTACAGTTCTTTGTAAATAACTAATTGGAGAAAAGAGTGGCTTGTGCGTGAAGGAAGAGAATGTATTTTTATGCAACTTTTTTTGAGTGGCCTTCCAAATTTTGAGATGAATGTTTTTGTTTTCCTGATTGTTACATAGTATTCTAAGTATTATATGTTTGAAAGTTTGAGAATAATATTCACATCTATAATGCTTGTAAACACAACAGTATTTATAAATGAATAAAACAAATGCTTTAACACTGTCCAAATGTCTTAACTAATGAAAGTGTATGTTTTCCTGCAGTGAGACTTATTTCCTTAATGATGAAAA